TGTCTCTCCCCATTCTCCTAGCCCCTTCTTTTTTTTTTTATCCTCACCCGAGGACATTTTTTGCGTTTATCTTCAGATAGCGTGGGAGGGAGAGATGGAGAGAAATGTTGTAAGAGACCGGGGACAAACTACAACCGAGGTACAACAGAGGTACGTGCCCTTAGCGGGAACCAAACCCAGGTCTCTCTAGCCTGCGGGCCGACGCTCTAACCGCTGAGCCAAACTGGCCAGGGCCCTCCTATCCCCTTCTTCAGGGAAACTGAAGAAAACATTTATGATTCATTCATACCTTGATTATTATGGTGAACTCCTAAAGGAATGAACTGAGGCAAAATGGAAGCACTAGCACAAAGACCTTTATTTTCCCATTAAATTGATTTTGGCCAGTGATACTTATTCAAAAGATTTAAAAAAAAAACTACTTAGACATTAGTAGCAGTTTCTAAACTAAATAAATATTTTGTAGCTGTCGTTTTGAAACAAAGTCAGTCACGTTTTCTGAAGATAAAGGAGTCTGGATTCTTAAAACAGTAAGCATATCCACTACAAAGAAAATGCATTCTCCAGAGCACAGCAAGCATAAAGACTTTTTAAAAACACACACCTTTATCAAATCATTTTTAAACGATCTCTTTTTTAAAACGCTTCAAAAACTTCTCATTGTTCTTAGGATAAGATCCAAAATATCTAGTGTGAACTACAAGCTAATTCGTTGATTCATTAAAAATACTATTAGGTACGCATTTTAGGCTCCGGAAATGCAGCGGTGAAGGGGTGGGGCAAAGCTCAGTTCTCAAAGAACTTAAAACTGGGGGCGGGCCGGTGGGAACTGACAGACTATAAACAAACAGTACAATCAAGAAACAGCATAAACTACAAAATAGACAAGACAAATTCCAATGTGATGAATGTTTTGAAGAAAATAAAGCGGAATGATTTTCTATAGAACATGAGCTTTTCTTTCACTTCCCCAGGCTCCATTTTCTCACCCCATGGAATTTGTACAGATTATTCCCTCTCCCAGGACTCCTTCCTTATCTGCCTTTCCTCCCTAGCATAGTTCTTGCTTCAGCTCAGGTCTCAGCTAAAAATGGCAACTTCTCTAGGTTAAATGTTCCTTTTATAATCCCCTCCCATTGTGTTCACACGTCTCCTTTGTAATAACATTCATTACCTTTGTAAGTATTTGTTCAATGTCTGTCTTGTCACAAGGGCAGGGTGTTCTTATCTGTGGTCTAATGATCTATCTCCAAGTCACCAGTATATAGTAGATGATCAATACGTTTTGTTGAATAAATTAACAGAAGGAAGATTGGAAAATTCTTTTACTTTTATCCTGTTAAGGGACATTTCACCAGGAAGGGGTAAAACTTATTTGAATGTCACACATATGTAAACAGCACATTGGTGAGAAATTCAATTAGGCTGGAAGAAAACAGAATGAGAGTTATTCAGTGGTTTCTTCCTTAGGTTCTAGGTGGCACTGAAAGCCAAAATGGAATAAATCATTTTGAGAAGGAGTTGTTTCCTAGACATATTAAGCAGCTCCTTGATTATAAAAGAGCATGAAAGAATATATAGAAAAGATAAGAAAGAGAAAGGAGGAAGGAAGGAAGGGGGGAGGGAGGGAGGGAGGAAGGAAGGAAGGAGGGAAAGGGTATACTTGAATGAAGCATTGCAGAAGTAAGTGGATGAGGAGACACTCTTTTTTTTCAGATTCAAATAGACTTTTCTTTCTAAATCAGTAGTTCTCAACCTTCCTAACGCCCCAACGTTTTAATACAGTTCCTCATGTTGTATGCGGGAATATCTGCATGTGGGCGGACCCGCCTGGAGACAGATAGAGCAGCGTCTTGCTTCCTAAAACCATCGGAAATATGAGTTTTCCGATAGTCTTAGGCGACCCCTGTGAAAGGGTCATTCAGCCCCCAAAGGGGTCGCGACCCACAGGTTGAGAACCGCTGTTCTAAATACAAGTGACCCCTCCTCCCAATACCAAGTAATGCATGCACATTGTAAAATATTCAAGACAATAAAGAAGAAAGTTAAAATGACTAATAATCCCGTCACATTTTATTTGCATGTACTGTATATTCATCTAGACTTTTTATGCATATTTACACGTCTTTTAATATAAAAATAGAAGCACACATGCAATTTTGTACTTTTTTTCCACTAAAAATATTCCTGAACAGCCCTGGCCGGTTTAGTTCAGCGGTTAGAGCGTCGGCCTGCGGTCCAGAGAGACCCGGGTTCAGTTCCCGCTAAGGGCATGTATCTGGGTTGCAGTTTGTCCCCAGCCCTGGCTGGGTCATGCGGGTGGCAACCACTCCATGTGTCCCTTTCACGTCGATGTTTCTCTCTCTCTCTTCCTCTGTCTCCCTGCCGCTCTATCTGAACAAAAAATGGAAAAATGTCCTCAGGTGAGGATAAAAAAAAATACCTGAGCATATTTGATCTAGCTACTAATTTTTAATGGCTACGTAGGAGTTTGTTACATATATGTACTGCAAAGTATTTAACTATTTTAGCATAGTTATTTTTTTTAATTTTTCAGTATTTCAATGATTAATATCTTTGTACATTCGTTACATACATCATCTTTGTCCACTTCTTTTCCTTAAGATACATTTCTGTATGTGTCTTCTTGGTCAAACAGCATGGATATTTTTATTTCTGATTAATAGTGAGGTTGAACATTTGAATTGCATATCCATGTCCTCACATTTTTAAATTGTGGTATTTATTTTTTTAAATAAACTTATAATAGCTCTTTATGGACTAGTGATATTAGCCAGATATGTTTACCATATATTTTGCATTTTTGTCAATTTGTTGTCATTTATTTATTTATTTATTTATTTATTTATTTATTTTTTATCCTCACCCAAGGACATTGTTGCATTTATCTTGAGATAGAGCAGGAGGGAGAGAGGGAGGAAGTCAGAGACAGAGACATCAATGTGAGAGAGACACATGGACTGGCTGCCACCCACACAACCCCAACCTGGACCAGGCTCAATCTGCAACCCAGGTCCGTGCTCCCAGCAGGGAACCAAACCCGGGTCTCTCTGGTCCGAGGACCGACACTCTAACTGCTGAGCCAAATCAGCCAGGGCAGTTTGTTTTTTAATTTTATTATAAACTAGTATTACTCTGTAGCTATCTTATGGCATGTTGAAGTTCTTATTTTCAGTTTGTTATTTGTCTTTTAGCTTTACTAAACTTGTGTTTTGACATTCAAAACTTTACTTTTATTTATGAAGTTGTATTTAACAGTATTTCAATTTATGGATTTTGTCATATTTAGAAAGTTCTACATCCTCAAGGCTATACACGTATTCAGTTACATTTTCTTCTGCTTCTTTTATGATTTTATATTTTACGTTAAGCCACGTTTGCGTTAAGAATATGTTAAGGAGTGGGTAATGTTATTACCATAAGCTCAATATCAGGCTTAACAGCATTGCAGGTCGGTGAAGAATTCCTTTTACATATTCTAGGTAGAAGTTCTAGTATGCGATTATTTAAGATAAGACAAAAACTACGTAGAGACACAGCACCTAAACCATAAACACGTATTATCAAAAATGGCAAGGTCAAGTCTGCTGGGAAGGTGAGCCAGGAAGAGCGTATGAGAGATATTGGGGTAACTGCTTGGAGTAAAATACTTATATTTCAGGCTGATGAAACGGCCTTCATGCTGAGGTCAGCGTTCCCTCAAAAAAATATTTGAGGGCCTACTATGAGCTGACTGGCGATATAACAGTGAACAAAACAGGTTCACTGCTCTTCAAGGTTGGGTAAACAAATAATATATTTTAAGATTAAGTGCTTTAAAGAAAATCAAGCAGGTAAGGAGGTGGGAAAAATAGTTATTTTAAATAGGGTGGTTAGGGACGACTTCTCTGGGGAAAGGGCAATTGAGAAGAGCTTGTGTGATGAGAGGAAAGATAGGCAGGAAAGTATTCCAGTTGCCGTAAATGGTCTAGGTGGGAACAAGTTTGGTTGGTTGGGAAAATCGGCAGAAAGCTAGCGTCGCTGGAGTGTTACCTGAAAACACCGAAAAATGGGGACAGATCCGCGGGAACACCCTCAAAACCTGGGTCAGGTTGTTTTTCTGTAACTTTGAAACCTGGGGTTGGATCTTGTGTGACTTATTCCCCAGTTTTCCCCAGGCACTGACTCTTAAGCAAGGCCTTCCTTAACTGCCCTTTTACAAATTCCAGCCTTATCAGATTTTCCCACCCTGTGACCATCACCGCCCCTTTCCAGGCATTTGGGAGAGTTACTATCTGAGAGCCCATCTCTGACCACTCGTTTTGAAACTGCAATTCCTGGCATTTTCTACCCCTCCCCCGCTTTTCTTCTTCTTCTCTCTCTATATATGCGTATATGTACACATATGTGTGTGTGTGTGTATACATATATATATATATATATAGCTGTCCACGAGAGCTGGTATTGTGTTTTTATTTCCACCTCGTCCTTAACATGTACAACAGTGGCTGGCACACAGTTGGAGCTTAATAAATACAGTGGATTGCATCCAATATACATACAGTGCACTGACTAAAAGGCAGGCTGGTGCAGGACTCGGCCGCACTAATCGTGGGAAGTCACCGCAGGCTCCACCAGCATCGCCCTTTGCGCTCTCCGGAAACAAGGCTCCGAGCAGTCAGAAGCTGACGTGCTTCAGCTTTCAAAATGGGAAAGCGGCGGTTCCCACAATCCCCGGCCGCGAATTTCTCGCCAGAGTTCAAAATGGCGGGGAGGGTGGGGCCTGTCCCACGGTGGGCGGCGCCGCAGCGTCCCCTCTCCAGCCGCAGCCCGCCTTGCCGCGTCGGCGGCGCCCCTCCTCCCGCCGAGCCTTTTCGAGGAATCGCCCGCGATTGGCCAATGTCCGGGGGGGCCGCGGCCCCGGCCCCGGCATCATCACTTCCTGTTGTGGGCAGGAGTTTCCTGTCGCTGCTTGGTAACAATGGGGGAGATAATGGCTGCCTGAGCAACGTTTCCCGAGCAGGCGCTGGGCTAGAGGCGGGTCTCCACCAGCGACTCATCGGAGGCGGGCTCGAGAGCGGCGACAAGGGAGGCGCGCAGGAGGCTCGGCGGCGGCGGCCTTACCGACCGAGTCGGATCCCGACCACGAAAAGCGAGTAAGTGGAGCCTTGGGGATCCTGAGAAATGGATGGAGAGCGAGAGGAAGGCAGCGGAGTCGTGGCCGCCGCTTTTTCTCAAGATGGCCCGAGTGGCCTGGCGTGGCGGAGGCCCGGCGCCGCTTCCGGACCCCGGGCGCGGGCTGCGGCGGGGGGCTCCGTGGCGTAGTCGCCGCTGCCATTTTCTCTGGGTGGACACTCGGCGGCCTTGCGAGGGGCCGGGGCCGGGGAGGTGCTGCCTGTCCGCGCCGCGCTCGCCGTGGCGGGCCCTCCGGAGCCCCACGGACTGGGGCAGGCAGTTCTCAAGTATTGGCCTCGGGCGTGAGAATCTTGAATCGCTTCAGGATTTTCTCTCCTCCGCGCTGTGGACACTTCCTTCGCCTCTCGCCGCCTCTTTAACCGGCGGGCTGAGCTTTGGGAGTCGGGGCAAGTCTGGCTGCTGGGAGTCGCTTGCTGGGAACTCTTGGGCCTTTGGATTTCCCAAGATTTGCAAAACCCCATTTTGAGCACTTCTGCAGGGCACTATCAATTAGGCGCCCCCTGGGGCCATGATGACATCTTCCCTGAGGATCTGAGGCAAATGTGCTTTACTCCCTGGCTCCAATAACCCTGGAATATCCTTTGCCAAATATCACTACAAGGGCCCCCCCAAAACTGAGGGGAAAGGCATGTGTGTGCTTGTCGTTTTTCCCTTGGAAAGGGTAGGAATTGGGCCAGATGATTTTCAAGTTAATTTCCGTTCCATCAGCCAACCCCCTCCCCCCCTCAAGAAAAAATGCCTAAGGGTCTCGGCTTCTGCGGGCGGTACCTGCCACGTACGCCATAGCTTTAGTAACTAGTATTAACCGGTTGGGCTTCTGCTTCCTGAACACTCAGTCCCTTTTTCCCTTATGCTGATTAATTTCAAGATGGAGGAGACAGCCACGTTCCTTCCCTAGACAGTTTCACCATACTTATTCCACAGGTTAGTCCGGGAATCTGAGGCCTAGCAGGCTTGTTATTTAGGTCATTCTTTCGTTTGGGGGCAAAGGGAAACATTTATATCGGGTTGTCACCCACCATTTCCAAAGCCCCACAACAATTTTTTGCTAGAAATAAGGAACCCAAATTTTCTGAATGAGAATTAACCGCAATATCTTTGGGTGATTGAAGGGAGGAAAAGAAATGAACGTACTACTATTAATCACTTCTTTGATTCTTCGTGATTCAACACAAACGAACTACTCTTATCATCCCAGCGAGTATATTATAGCCATCCAGGATAATTTGACAACAAGCAGGCACAATTATAGTCCCCCCCACCCAAAATCGGTTTTCTACATTGTAAAAAAAAAAGTACCCAGGAAGACCAGTCTTAACAGTTTTTAAAATATGATTTTGGGACCAACTTCTCTTACTGAAAAATGTTTCGTCCTGATGATCTTTCATACTTTTAGTTTCTGCCTTCGGCCTAGGCCACTCCTAGGACGACTTTACAGAGGTAACTATAATGTGCCAAATAAGTCCTCAAAAGTAACTATCAGAATCTGAAAATAATTACTTGTCTAATAAAGTAAGACCTATTTTAAGCAAGTTTATATTAAGGGGGTGGATTGGCAATCTTATATCTAACATATGAGATATCTGGTTCCTTCTGATCTGTCTCCCCAAGTATCTTAATACTAATACTGAATTATATTGGGTACTGGTGTGTGTGGGAGAGACAGACTAAATTACATAGGATGTGTATTTTTTTAAGATGTGTCTACTTCAAAGAAAACATCTTATAAGAGAGGAAGAATAATGGATTCTTTTTTTTTCTAGAAGAGTGAAGAAAACTAAAATCCAGTTTATTGTATTACAATACTATGTCATAATAGTCAGGTAATTTATTTTTTTGTTGTGTCTCCTGATGATTTGTGTATAGAATGCATGTTTTAAAATATTGTTTTGTGGGCCCTGTAATTGGATGGGTTTATTCGATATATGTTAGTTGGTTTTGGGCATACTTCATGATGAGAATGGGTATTTTGTACTGGTAATTCAAAGGATAGTGTTTCTGAATAGCTGGAATTGACCACCGCTTTATCTGTGAATTTTCCTCTTTTAAAATAATGTCTGAAGTTTACCAGGACTTGTGTAGAACAGAATGAACAAGATGGGTATAAATAAGTACTGTTTGTATGTTCATTGAATAGTTAAATAAAATATCAGTAGACTTTCTTACAGGAATATAATCTTATATTATTTCTGTGTTCTATTTTTTCCTTTAAGATCCCAAAAGTCATAATTGCTATATAATACTCTAATTGGTATTAACTCTTTTCATCATCAAGGTTAAAGTAACTCATAACGTATTGCCCTAGCCAGGATGCTTTTAAGAGGAAAAGGGACATTATTAATAATTATGATTGGACAGCAGGGACAAACAGGATTGTCCCAGGCAAACTGGTATGGGTAGGTAGTTAGCCTAAATCCACAACTAATTTGTATTGAATGCTCATGTGCTAGGTCCTGGGCTTCACATGCATGATTTTATAATCATCACAGCAAAGCTTCATGAGAATGTTAACTATTTTACAGAGGTAACAGTCTTTGGGAAGAGGTTATTAAGTAATTTGTCCTCAATTAAATACCTAATAAGTGGTAGAGCCCCCATTCTAACCCAGGTCTGTCTAATGCCTGAAGTCACTAAACTTTTATACCTCTAGACTGAACTGTTTATTTAGATCAGAAATGCAAAAAAAAATGAAAGGTTGTAATAAAAAAATCTATAGGTTATTAACCCTAAAAGGAATCCACTTTATGAAGCAGGTGAGACTGACTTAGCAATTACCCCCTCCTCTTTTTTCCTGTTTCAGCTATTACTATATAATTTGATAAACAATTTAAAATCAGCAATGGTTTTATGAAATGGATTAATTATGAAATGACATCTAGAGATATTAGGCTGGTTGGATATATTCTTTCAGGTTAGTGAATATATAGTGAGGCCTTAAGTAACACAGTAGGTCAAATGCTGCATCTGCATTCATGGAATTAGAATGTATATACTCTATTACTTTTTCCACAGCCCTAGTGGATTGGGAAACAAAGCAAATCACTGACCAGCCTCCTTGTCCCCTTGATTTACAAATTACAATAGGAAACAAATTACAGTGTGAAAAGTCCTGTCAAACTCAGACCAATGAGATGCTAGAATCTGGGCTACTGCCTTGGGCTGCGACATGTTTTTCTTTTGTTAGTCAAATTCCTTAACATTTCTGTGTAATACACAAAAAAGTAGCCAGTTTACATAATCCCTTGAGGTTTTGATAATCAATGTAAGAAAGCAATAGTACTTCTGTATTTGTTTTTCTCATCCTTGAATATGGAAGTTTCCCAGAAAGTCAAGCAGTTCATATTTCCTTTTTATCAAAAGAAATTTCTGTTAGAAAAATCTTGCCAATTTTGAGCAATTTGGGAATATGTTTATGAGCTTGGACTTTTGTTTCTTAAATACATATATTTGATATTTTGTTGTCAATTTTCTTGTATTTTAGTGCTCCAACCCAAGATTTTCATATCATTAGTCATAATAGCACCTATATGTTGAGACAAATAGCTGTAGACAGTGTGTGGTGTGTATATAGATTCGTGGACCTCTTGCAATAATTTCATGACTGCAGGTTGGGCTTTGGTTATAATGTTTGCGTGGTGATGAACTTTCTGTGGGGGGAATGAGATATTGTGTTCAGTGTTTGTACTCTTTTTCTGGAATTAAAAGGGGTCTCTTTCCTCTTGCTCTCCACTTGCCTGTAGGAAGAATGGAGTTAACACTTAGTTACAATTTTCATTTTTTTATTCAACAAAGTTACCATTAGTGTCAGTTACATCTAAGGTAACCATATAATTTATCCAAAATGGGTCCCTTTGGAGGCTGAAAGACGACCCGGACCCTACTGAGTAGTGTGGGACCACAGGTGTAGACTGCTGCTGTGCAGACTGGGGATGTGTAGTCACATTGTTGTCATTTCTATTTAGAAACACTGGTTCAGGAAGCACAGTTGTAAGCATGTTTGGTTCTGTAACAAAACTGATTTCCTGAAATAATATAACATTCATTTGTGTAGACAGTATTTTCTTTTTTGGTCAAGTGATTTTAATGTTTTTAAAATCCTCACCCAAAGATGTATTTTGATTGGTTTTTAGAGACAGAGGAAGGGAGAGAGAAAGAGAAACGTCGGTGGGTTGCCTCCTGTAAGCTCCCTGACCAGAAATTGAACCCACGGCCATTTGGTGTATCAGACGAGGCTCCCCAAGCAACTGAATCACCCAGCCAGGGCTGTTCAAGTGGTTTTAATTTTAAAAGTTGGCTTCACTCCTATTCAGAAAGTTATTTTTTGTTGTTAATCCTCACCTGAATATTTTTCTACTGATTTTTAGATAGAGTGGTGGGGAGGAACTTCAGTGTGAGAGAGACACATTGATTGTTTGCCTCCCTCCCACATGACCATGGCCAGGGATAAACTTGCAACCCAGGTGTGTGTCCTTGACTGGGAATCAAACTTGAGACCCTTTGGTCCTCAGGCCAATGCTCTAACCACGAAGCAAAACCAGCCCGGGCTCAAAAAGTTAATTTTTTACGGAAAACTCATATCCTCAAAAAATAGTACTTTATTTACCTATTATCACCAAAATTACTAGTAATCAGTGATTTTACATTAATAACCTTTTTATAAATACATGAACCTTCTGGGTTTGGAGTCATTTCTTCTTGGAAATAATGAGAAGCAAGTCAGAATTGAGTTTGTGAGGATAAGACCAAATTCTAATTTAGTGATGTAGCTCAATGAAATGGGTAATCAGACATTTAATTCTCTGTCTAAAGTACTTGAGTGAATTGAAATGTCATCATAATGGCTTCCTTTGAAAACTAACTTGATCCCATGAATTGGCAGCATTTGGCTTGGTCTCTGTCCTTTGATTTGTTGACTTTTGATCTTACTGTTTTAGAGGGTTGTAGTCAAAATTGTGAGCTG